TTCACTGAAGCAAGCAAGCCTCATGTTCAGTTTAAGCTGCCTGGCTGCCGGTCGCCATCTTGGCTGTCAGTTAATTTGCATATTTTGCTGATTAGCCAATGAGAAGGGTAGTGGTCGTACGCCAATTACCATGTTTCTCTTTTATTAGTGTAGATAACCTTCAAAACTAAACCAAAAAAGGATTAAAATTCAAAGCACTGGGAGTGGCTGATTCAGAAACAAGGAAATGCAAGAGAATGGGGTGAGCCCAAAGGAAACATTAAACATGGAATAAAGTGATAGTTAAGGTGAGTAGACAAGGGCTTTCAGAGGATGAACTGTGTTTGGTAGAGAGAGAACAATTTAGTCGTAATCCTCTGGTATACAGAATACTGGGGTAGGATTCCAACTAGAGTACATGACTCCACTCTACACATGAAACCAAACTAAAGTTCTGAAAACACCAATTTCCTTAGGTCCAAAAGAATAGTCCTAATAGTCCTATAACCCAGGATCTAGATTTTCCTTTAATATAATTCACAGAAAAATAATTACTTTTAAAAATGTTTTAAGAGGCAAGTTAGAGACAGTGAAATAAACTGAAGAGATGGTGAGCAAACAGTACAGATTTTCTGAGAGTTGTTCATTCGGAAAGCAAGACACTCAGAACTAGATGAGTTCAACAAGGGAAGTTTTTTTTTGTTTTGTTTTTAAGGAAAACAGACTGAAAAACAAATTAGAGGAAGAATCTGCTTTGGCAGAGGCAGATCATGGTTTATGTCCTTACCTTCTCACAACCTGATTACTGTGGGAAGATCCCCACTAATGCATGTTGCCATTCCTTTCTCTCCCCATCTTATGTCAACATCAAAATAAATTTCTGAAAGCATCTATTTCCTCATGCATTAAGCAACACTGCTTTACCTGAGACTCTAACTCTCTTTCTAGCTGTGACTCACAACATCACAAGTGTTCAACAGGAAATACAACTCAGATGAGGAGCAGGCCTTCTTTGCAAAAGGACCAGGTTCATTTTGTTTTCTCACAGCTGTTCACGAAACTGCCCAAGCCATCAAGTCATACGTTCCTTCACCTCAATCTGCTGGCTAACTTCTCCCCAAAATAATTTTGTTTCTGAGGCAGTGTTGATTTTTAAGTCTGCTTTTATTTCTAGGTTTATCTTTTATAGAGTTTTCAGTTTTTATACCTTGAGGCTCATCTGTGGATTTTACTGAACTGTAATATCCATAATGATCACATTTCTCTATATGGTTCTGAGACCTTAAGTAGATATTATCTTAAAATTTTTGGCTAGCCTGGCCAGCATGGCTCAGTGTGTGAGCATAGATCTATGAACCAGAAGGTTATGCTTGGATTCCTGATCAAAGCACATTCCAGGGTTGCGGGCTCAATCCCCAGTAGGGGGTGTGCAGGAGGCAGCCGATCAATGATTTCCTGTCATCACTGATGTTTCTATCTCTTTCTCCCTCTCCTTTCCTCTCTGAAATCAATAAAAATTCTTTAGAAAAGCAAGGACCTATAACCAAGATTACTCTACCCAGCAATGCTATCATTTAGAATAGAAGGACCGATAAAGAGTTTCCCAGACAAGAAAAAGCTAAAGGAGTTCATCACCACTGTGAGAGTGAACCAGTTATCTTTTCTGTCAAAGAAAGGAGCTTGCTGCCATCTTAGGTCCTGCGATATTGATATGACCTTCAGACTCTCAGGGGGCCGCCATCTTGGGCTCCGCCTTACCCCTCCCCTTCCTCTGAACTAGCCACTCGTACAATAATGGGAACCTGAGCTCTGAGCCCTGACCACT